ATGCAATACAGAGGATCAGAGGATTGGCTGGTACATTGATGGAGTCCTTGATGAAGAAGGTTGGACTACGATTCAGCATGGACCCTAAACAGACACCAAGCCAGCCGAGGAGTCACAAGCTTCGAATTGACTCAAGGGAGATCATACGAGTCACCGCTGGTTCCATTCGGGTGCCCAGTGTATGCATACTTGAACCCTCTCACTGGCCATTTTTCTGGGAAAGACTGAAGGCCAAGATGCATGGGCTGTGGGAGAAGGGCAGAATGTGGTGCTGACCAGGTCGGTAAGACGCATCGACAGGCCCTGGTCCAAGTTCATGACCTACTTCAGGGACTTCACTGCACACAGCTGGGAATTCCAAGTCAACTTTGGTGGGCGAATTGTGCCATCGAAGCGTGCACATGTTCAGGAGGAAGAGCCTGCCAGCGGATCCAACTCTCTACCAGGAGTTTGATGAGGAGGCCAAGGCAGTTGAAGACTATGCGAAGTCTAAGGAAGGTCAAGAGGAGGCAGAGAGAGAGATCCAGGAGGTCCAGATGATGCTTGGAGCAACGGAGGAGGCAGTTTCGGGTACCTTGGTTGCTGAAGGTGGGGTGCCAGCCCCAAGAGCCCCACAGGTTGATGGGCAGAGCCTAGGATTGCCGACAACTCCAGTTCTTGCAATGAAGCGCCCTGGAGGAGAGGGCTCAGAAGGATTCATTCCAATGGAGGTTCCCCCATTGCCATCAAAAGAGGACAAGGGCCCTCAGGAGGAGAGATCCCTGACAAAAACACCACCGCCACCATCGGCGGTCAAGAGTGAGCCTGAAGCAAAGAAGCCTCGAATGGAAAGCTTCAAGAAGCAGAGGATTGAGGAGGAAGGAGCTACATCGTCATCCAGCACGGCAGGGAAGGAGATGGTGGAACGAAGGGTCGAAGCAGTGAGCATCGAAGGGGACACTATGTATCATCTAGATGAAGTGATAGATGTGGAAGCCCTGGAAGTGGATGGTGAGCAAGATGATGTTGAAGACTTGAAGCCAGGAGCAATCCCTGATGCCCTATGGAGTGACGAACCCCTCAACAGGACACCACCTCAGCCTTCGCCCATCATCGAGCAGCTTGCAGACAAGGTGGAGGAGCAGAGGCTGAAGAGAATGGGGGTGCTCAGGTGCGGGGTGGCACTTGGTCACACAAGTGTTGCCGATGGGTTTCATCAACTCTGTTGCTATTGCCCAACATATACACCGCCGAGTGATAAACCAGGCACTGAAGGGTGACCTCAGGTTGGCATCAGGTCATCAGGAGATCCGCAGGGACCGCCCCCACAGCAGTGCACCGCACCTTTTCCGAGTGTACCTTGACAACTACGATGAGTTGAAGAAGGTTGACAAGGCCCTTGCGTCGGTTGTTGCAGGTACTCCTTCGGCATGGACGTTGGCGGTGCCTACATATGAGAACTTGGGGCTACCACGGCATCCAAAGAAGGCAGTGACTCAAGAGGCAAAGGCGGAGGTGCAAGGTGCCTGGGTCGATGGGGAACTGGGACAGGCGACACCGAAGGTGGAGAAAATCCTGAGGTACGTCAGGCTGGCCTGTGAGGCAATCATTGCAGGCAAGGCTTCACAGAGGGAGCTGCAAGTGATTGGAGGGGGCTTCGTGTACATGGCCATGTTTCGCAGACCGTTGCTAGCAGGCCTGAATGCGATTTGGCGACGCATAGTTGAGCTGGGAACAGGAGGTGAGCGACGGCGGGAAAGGCTAGGTTATGAGGTGGTGCATGAGCACCTTTGGCTTACATGGACTTCCGGACGCAAGTCTCAGAGCATGTGACCGCCAGCGATGCGTCCACGACAGGGGGTGGCTTGTGCGTGTCAAGGGAGTTGAGCCCCTATGGGATTGCGGTTAGCCTAGCTACTTGCAGGGGTGATGTGATCGCCCAAGATGAAGTTGGAGTGTCTTTGTTTGATGGCATAGGTGCACTTCGTGTGGCAGTAGATGCCCTTCGCGTGCCGGTGGCAGGTTATGTCAGCGTGGAGATCTGTCCGGAGGCAAGGCGAGTGGTTGAAAGCTGGTTTCCAGAAGTCGTTCACGTTGAGGATGTAGCCCTGATTGGGACTGACGAGGTGCGAGATTGGTGTCTGCGTTTCTCAGGCGATGTGGCAGTTCTCTTGGGCGCGGGACCGCCGTGTCAAGGTGTTTCCGGACTTAACGTCGATCGACGTGGAGCGCTTCGAGATGCACGTTCCTGCTTGTTTGCTCATGTCCCGCGGATTGAGGAGATCCTTCGCAGGTGGTTCACGTGGTGTCCCGTCTTTACCTTGATTGAGAACGTGGCCTCTATGGATGCCAAAGATTGCACTCTGATGAACTCAGCGTACGGGCTTGAACCGTGGTGTGTCGATGCGTCAGGCGTCTCTCTGGCACGGCGGCCCAGGCTGTATTGGTTCAATTGGGACCCACGGCCGATGGAAGGGCTAACCAAGTCAAGCTCTTCCACGCTGCGCCTACCTGTGAAAGGCGAACTCCACCTCAAGGCCACATTGGACAGCAAGGACTTCTTGGAGCCAGGTTGGAAGCGCGTTGAGGAGGTAGGCCGTTTCCCAACATTCACGACAGCTCATCCTTCGCCAACTCCAGGACGCAAACCCGCGGGGTTGTCACTCTGTCCCTCGGAAGCCTTGCAACGTTGGCGTGCGGACCAACATCGGTTCCCTCCATACCAATATCGAAGGGAGAACTGCGTTGTAAACTCCCAGTCACAGCTGCGTGTTCCCAGCATCGTTGAAAGAGAAGCAATCTTGGGATTCCCAACCGGCTACACAACCAAATGTCTTCCAAAGGCTGAGTATGAGACTGAGAAGTGGAAGGATTATCGCCTCAGGCTTCTTGGAAATAGTTGGTCGGTTCCCGTGGTCGCGTGTTTGCTTCATTTGTTGTTCTTGACATTGGGCTTGGTTGATGAACTCAGTGTTGGTGACATCGTTGGACGACTGACTCCAGGCAAATGCGATGACTTGCCAGGTCTTTTGTTGAGGCCCCCACTGAGGCAAACCACCAAGGCAGGAGCAACAGAAGGAGGGCTTGTGCGTAAGTTGTTGGGACAAATCTCGGTCAAAGGTGAAGACATTCTTCTACAGATGTCCACGGACATTCCGGCAAGATATCGTCGCCTGAGAGCTTCTATTCCAGGGAAACTATGGAGATGGCGTGATGTCGTTGGCTGGCAGTGGAAAGGCGAGGCTGAGCACATCAATACGTTAGAACTCCGGGCGGTGAAGACTGCCTTAGTTTGGCGCATCAAGGAGCTTCAAGAGAGTGATGCCAAATTCCTACACTTAGTTGATTCGTTGGTGGTACTGCACGCCCTTTCCAGGGGTCGTTCCAGCAGCAGGAAGCTTAGGAGGACGTTGGTGAAGATTGGTGCGTTGATGCTTGCAAGCGGCCTTCATGGCGCATGGGGATACATTGATACAAAGCAAAACCCGGCGGATAAGCCATCCCGCCGGCCTGTGCGTAAGGGATGGCTAAGAGCAAGAAGAAAATAGTTGAAGGTCGAAGCAAGCAACAACGCAAGGCAGTTCGAAAGAACCTAGGGAAGCTCAAAGATTTAACAGTGCAGCCTCGCACCAAACAAAGATATGAACTTTGTCTTCAGCAGTTCTTTGACTGGTTGACAGGGGATGGACTGACTCTCCCAAAGCGTGTCACTGACGTGGACCTCCTGGTCTCAGACTACTTTAGAGCACCTATGGGCTATAGGCGAAGGCAAGTCGGTCGCCAATAACACCCTCGCAGCCCTTCAAGATCGGGACCCAAATCTGCGTCGAAAACTCCCCGGGAGTTGGAGGCTTATGAAAGCCTGGGCCACGGCCGAAATTCCCAACCGAGCGCCCCCAATGACCTTAGCGCTGTTGGACGCTTTGTGCGGATGGGGGTGGCCTTTTTTTGGGTAGCCTTTTTTGGGGCCTGACTATTATAAGTCAGGTGCCCGACAAGGAGCAGCAGAATCCGTCACTGTCCACGATACTTCCGTTTTGCCTTCTTTGTACCGTTGGAAACAACAGGCACAGCCCCATGCCTACCTCACTGTAAAGCCACATGCTTGGCGACGCCTGTTCAATCAGGCACTTGAAGGGTTAGACCTCCTGTCTTTTGGGTACAGGCCCTACTCTCTCCGGAGAGGAGGGGCAACGTTCTTTTTTCAACACCACGGCAGTTTCGACAAATTGCTTGTCCTTGGGCGGTGGGCAGCCGCAAAAACTGCCCGTATATACATCAACGAGGGCTTAGCCCAGTTGTCCGAAATCAGCGTCCCTAGTTCGCGTCTGCGGTACTACCAATCTTTTTATGTCAAGCACCCGATCCTTGAGCCTGGGCCCCGGAAGGCGCCCAGGTCAGGGGGACGTGGAAAGGTTCGAAAACACTGAGTTTTTTCGCTTGAGGGTACATGTGAGAGTGAATGAAACCCTCAAATGTCTATCTGTTATTTCGGGGAAAGAAAGCAGGTAGACCCTCTCAAATGTGTTCGGGCTCATGGAGCGCCGGTTTGGCGGCAGCCGCCATGAGGGGCACAGGGGGGCACCCCTCTCCTCTGGTTTGGCGGGGAGAGAGGGGTGTCGGGGCCCCGAGAGGTAATC